GACACAGTACAGCAACCATGTCCCATGTTCCTGGCATGAACTGGCTCTGAATAGGACCTCAATAAATGCTAAATGAATAAACAAGTAAATGAATGATGTGAAAAGAGAGGCTGGAGTTCTAGTTCTGCCACTTTCCAGCAAAGAATCCCAAACCAGTTATTTTCAGCCTGTCTAGGGCCTCACCAGGTAGGTGAGAGTAATAATATCCACCTCTCAGGCTGTTGTATGAAATGAGATAACATACATGAGAGTGTTATATAAACTGTGTAATACTTTACAAATGGTTCGGGGGGCTGACTCACTCAAACCAGTTCCTGTGCCGTTAGCAAACAGCAGAAATACAGATAGGGCTTGGGGGCTAGGGAAGAAAAGGATTTTTGTTTTACCAAATACATGAAAGCTAGAATATGGTGAGCAGATTTGTTCTCTCCAGGTGCTCCAGCCACCTTGATTCCACAGGGGGGCTTCAAGCCCTTGACCCAAAGCATGCTCAGTGGACTCTTCCCATCTGACTTCTCTTAATCCAGGATTAAGACCTCCTGATTTGGGCAGAGCCTTTTTGGAGTTGTCACTTTAATTCGTTTTGGCATTTTATCTGGTTCTCTTTCATTAGTGGAACAGCCAGAGTCCTGAGGTTGCACGCTCTCTCCAGGCTCCTTGGGGAGAATTATAGTCACTAAGGTCTTGGTTGTCTAAGAACTACAGCTTGGCTCTTTCCTGGAAGCTGGTCTCTGACCACAGGACACAACTCAAGTGTAACAGCGACTCCCTTGTGGCAGACACCCATCCAAAAGCAAAGCAGCCAAACCAGTCCTGACCTGTGAAGCTGTCTGGCCCCCACCCAGACACCCATCCAAAAGCAAAGCAGCCAAACAGTCCTGACCTGTGAAGCTGTCTGGCCCCCACCCTGGATTTTATCAATGACACCAACTTCTCTCTGGACTAGCAATTGAGTCCAAGAGGCAATTGGAATGGCTAAATGCAAAGAGGCATAGGAATAAATCTTTCTTTCACTGTTGTATAGTTTATTTCCAAATATTTTATTTCTTACAAAGTCAATTTTTAAATATCATAAACTTTTTAAAGAAAAGATGATTTTTTTTTTCCACATACCTACCATCCTCCCCGGCAGAGGAGAAGAAGGAAGGGGAACTGATCTGGGATCAGAAGGCCTGGGTTCCAGTTCTCTGCTATCTCCTAGTTTGTATGGCTGGGACTAGTCATTTAATTTTCTCATCTACCAAATGGATTATTAGCATCCACTGATTCTATTTCTCAGGGTTCAAATGAGATAAAATCCTTCTTGGCAATTTTCAGACTTACTTGCCTGGAAGAGTACAGGTTGCCTCTGTATATCTGCTGGATGTCCCTCTATAGCTGAGAAAAAAACATGTCTCAGTAAGCAGGGGATGAGGGAGGTAGAGAGAGGAGATCAGGGGGTTTTCAAGGTTGGGTTAGTGTCCCTGTTGGCTCCCACTCATTTGGTAAAGCTGTGTCACTTGTGTCGATTCCCTGTTTCTCTCCCTGTACGTCAGACAATTCAACTAAGAGCGTCAGACTGCTCCCTTTACATCTCTGCTGGGGACTTGACAGGGAGGAGGGAATAGGAAGAGGGCTCCCTATTTAGAAATTGCATTGAGATGGAAAGACAATATGACACATCGGCTCATGTCAAAGGAGCTCACTCTTCACGCCTACAACATTAGCAATTTCCTACCAAGTTTCAATTTTTTTAAAAAATTATTATTTGGTTTTAATTTATTTTAGTTGCAGCATAACTCAACAAGACAGTGCTAGTCAGAACAGGGTGGGTGCCTGCCCAAGGGCAGAGACTTAGGGGTGGGTGGGCAGAAATATGAACTTTTGTTGAGGAGAGGAGGGCATAGGGGTGGGAGCCCCCTGATTTCTGCCTTCAACCTTCTTATCCCACACCACTTCAGTCCCCTTATCTTTTTCTGAGCAATCTGGCCTGAAGGCCCCAGACTCAGGATGTTCCAGCCATAGCTGTATGAGCAGTGGGGGAGGGGAAGACAAAAGTGATTTGGACATGGGTAAAACCATCCCTTCTAGAGTGTTATTGCTGGAAGCAGCTTCAAAGAGGTCCTAATTCAACTTCAGATAAGGACACTGACCTTATCTTACAGAACATGCAAAGTCCCCATGGCTGGTTTGGTGCATGGGTCCTACATCCCTGGACATTGGCTATCTAATACCCTTTTTTGGCCCTATCCCATATTGCCTTCTCTCCTGCCCCTTACTCCAAATCCAAACACAGAATGGTCTTTCTCTAGAGATAAGGTTAAAGGGACAACTCCACTTATTCCTACTTTTCTTCCCTTTCTGTATTTGGGTGAGATGTGGGGAGTCTGAATTTTGACTCTTCACTGGGAAGAAGCATAGATGTGTTTTGGGTTTGGGCTTGTGGGGAAAAGGGTTCTGCAGAGAAAAAGTTCCCATCTTTACATAAGGATTTTTTCTGCTTTGTGTCTGGTTATGTGACCATCACCGTATCAGCAACTGCTGTGGAGGGGCAGGTTGAAGAAGACAACTAGGGTGAGGCTTTATAATGTAAGAAAAATGTTTTTAATATCACTTTCTGAATATATGTCCCTTTATAAGTGCAATGGTCTCTGTTTCTGTTCTCTCTGTCTTCTGCTATCTCTCTATGTATCTCTTTCATTCTCTGCCCCTCTGTCTCTTTCTCTGGTTTCTGCCTCTGTTTTATTCTCTCTGCAGCTCTCAAATACTCTCACTTCTGCACTCCAAATTCAATAGGAGCCAGGGAGCTCCAGCCTCTTGCTGTATCCCTGTCAGGTCAGAATCTCCTTCTCTTTGTTAGGTTGAGAAATGCCAGGTCCGGAGCTGCTGCGGAGAGCACCAGAGAGGCTGCAGAACCGCCTGCCGAGTGTGGAGGCTGAATCCGGGAACAATGAGAAATTATCTGTTAATTCTCAGCTCCCGCCACCTGCTCTGCTCCAAACAGGCTCCTTTGCCTTCAGTTTAGATGCAAATTCCCCTACTCGGATGTAAGCAAAATATTGATTTCCCTGCATCACAGGCCTGGGCCCTTGGACCGGTCCTGTGTTTTTTTCATTCTCTGCAAAGGCAAAACAAGGCGCTTTGTTCTGCGAATTTCCCCAGGAACTCGAGAGGGGGAGGGAGATATCGCCGCGGAGTGACAGAGTTGCCATAAACACGGGCAGAGAGCAGTTTATCTCCATTTATGTTTTACATAAACACAAACCCACCGCTTTGGAAACTGCTAATGAGCGTGTAGCCAGGGACCTGCGAGCTCCTGTCTCTTCCTGGTGCTGAGGTCTGCACTGGGTGGAGGAGAAGGTTATGGGGCCTCCGGGCTCCTCAGGTGGGATTTCAGAAGCACCGGAAAGTGAATGGAGACGCTAGAACCTTACCTGTTCTTGGAACAGCAACCCAGCACCACCCGCAGGAAGGTGGCCTGGACTGCATAGTATCGCCTGGATCGTGTTTGCTCAGTACCTCCTGCCTCAGTTCCTAATCTTTCAAATCACAAACGCCAGGGGTCAGGGTGGAAGCTACGACAGTCCCCCCACCCCCACCCCCGCCAAGCGCCCTTCCCTCTCCCCTAGCCCGTGCCCACGCAATGTTTCTTCAGCACCGTGGACAGAGCCAGGAACGTCCCGGGCCAAAAGACCGCAGAACTAGGCCAGGGTCCTCTCAGGCTGCCGCCTGGTCCTCGGTACCCGGGGCACTAGCTGCCCCGGGCTCGCAAGTACAAGGACCGGGTGGCTCTTCTAGCGCAGATGGTGCACGGTAGAGACCGCCAGGAGCTGGGGCTCGGAATCTCCTCCCTCCAGAACGTGAGTCACTGCCCGAGCCACTTCCAATTAGAGTGTTAATTAAGAGGAAAGACCCTCCTCCACCACCGCCCACCCGAGCACACACCAGCCCCGCGGCTTCCGGAGGCTCCAGCTAAAGTTTCCATCCCAGCTCGGGGAAGGAGCTTCGGGTGAGTCCTACGTAGAGAGGGGCTGCACCGCGGACAGGTAGAGGACAGAGACTCCAGTGACTGGGCTCTGCAGGGCCCCAATCCGCTGACCGCCACGGTCCACACATTTCTAGCGCTGAGTGAGGCATCTCAAAGCCCCCCAGACAACCTGTTCCTGGGCCTCACTCCACAGTTCCTGAGAGTTCTGCTTTTTAAGTCTAGCCTCAACCCTACGGTTTAATTTTCAGTCCTTCAGGTCCTTGTTATACTTAATTGAAAAAGATACATTGTTTCTGGTGGGGGTTGCACCTGATCAGGGAGGTGAGTCTGGCGGGAATAGGGCACCCTCTTGAAATGCCCCCCATTCCTATTCGCCAGAAACTTTCCCCTCCCGTTGCCATGGAGAGAGACGGCCGCTGTCTCCCGTTGCCATAGCAACGTGCGGGTACTGTGGACCGCAGGATTGCGGGGCTCAGAAAGTCTTCTTGCAGTTTGCATCGCTCCGCAATCTTGGGGTCTTCTATCTCCGAAGATGGGACCTGAGGCAAGTCTGACTAACTTCTCCTGGTCAAGGTCCTCCCACTCACTCACAGTCAGGTCATCTATTATGGGGTTATCTATTAGCTGCCACTTGTGTGGCATGTGGCTATTTACCCAGCGTTTCCACAAGCACTATCTTTATATCCCATGGGGCCCATGAAACACTCATAATCATTATACCTCTTTTACGGGAGAAAAAAAATTGAGGCTCAGGGAGGACCAAGGTCACAACCGATACTGAATGCGGAGAGGGATTCGGGCTCTTTTCCTGGTCTTGCCACCAACCCCCTCAAGGTGCGGGATAACGGGGCTGGAACCAGCCCGGACTCAGGCCAGTCCCTGAGTGTCGAGGGGGCGGCCAGGAGGCGCCAGACTTGCCAGCTGCCGCGGGATGCCACGTGAGGGGCGGGGACCCTGCGGGGAAGTGATTAAAAGCAGAACGGAGCCGCAGGGGGCCGCTGCGGGGAGGGTCTTCTTGGGGCCGCCTTGCCCCGCCCCAGTCCCGCAGCTGTGAGGGTTCGAGAGGCTGCTCTGCAGGCCTGGGTGTCCAGGGCATGAGCGGGGTGTGGGGGGCCGGAGGGCCTCGGTGCCAGGCGGCGCTCGCGGTCCTGGCCTCACTGTGCCGGGCCCGGCCGCCTCCTCTTGGGCTGGACGTGGAGACTTGTCGGAGCTTCGAACTGCAGCCCCCAGAGAGGAGTCCGAGCGCTGCCGACGCAGGTAACGGGAGACCCAGGACCCCCTGCCTTCTTGGATTCTCATCTTGGCCGTCCCCATGCCCCAAACACTCGCCCCAATAGCCGGGAAGATAGAGCGAGAACTCCAGCCTGGGCTTGTGGATTCGCAACCAGCCTCACACCGTCCCCTGGCCCATCTCCTGCGGGGCAAGGAGAGATCTGAAGGGAATCGGGAGAGACAGAACCCCCTGGCCCTCTCGAGTGACTATTGTGGGAACCCGGCGGAAAGCTCCCGGGAGACGACTCGGGGCCTCAGTTTCCCTCGCGTTTCTGGGCTCGCCCTACAGGCTTCTGCCAGGGGAGGGGTTAGTGGATCCAACAGGAGCCGAGGGACGTACTGGCTACAGCAAAAGCTTGTCCCCTTTGGAAGTGTCCAGGTGCTAGAGTTCATCAGTTGATCTGACCGTCCGTCGTTCTCTCAGTAAACGCCGAGCCCCCTGGGTTAGGGAGAGAGAAACTTGGGTCTGCGGCTGGCACGAGGTCTTTGTGTCCGGGTGTCTCTCCCGCTGCTAGTGGCTTTCTGCGTCTCCGATGGGGGGCGGGGGTCGGGGAGGCGGAGTGGGGGAGGCTGTCGCGGCGTCCTCCCCCCACACCCCCCTCGCCCCTATAACTCGCTCCCTCGGTCTCCCTCTGACTCACTCGGACTCCCGGCGGGTGCGCGACTGAGCCGGTGCCTCTCGCCGACTTTGCCAAGAGGGCGCCTGCTGCCCAAGCCTCGCGGACTCTGCGCCCGACGCAGCCCCAGGCGGCCGCCGAGTGCAGGCGGGAGCCCGAGTGGAGTCGAGCTCGCCGGAGCCGGTGAGTCCCGAGCCCGAGCCCCGCGGGGCCGGGGCCCGGAGTGCAGCTGCGACGTCTCGCAGGAGTCGCGACAGCGGGAATGGCTTGTCGCGCCCTGGCGGCGGGAGCCGTAGAAGGATCGGTGGTGTGACCAAAGGCTGCTCCTGGGTATTTACCTGCTGCACCAGTGCCCTGCGGTCACGCTTGCCGGCTGCAGTGGGGTTTCTTTGTCCCGTTGCGTGGAGAGTGCCGGTGGGAGGATGAACAGGGTCGCGTCCCCTCCGGAGGACCGGCTGGGAAGAATGCGGAGTGGGGGTGGGGAGATCCTGCAGGGACCAAGGCGCTGGGGTTCCTTGGGACTCCGCAGACTCCACCGCTCCTTGTCCCTCGACCCCCACCCCAGTGGCACTGGGCCAAGGGATATGCGGGAGTCTCCCGGTGGCTCCACACCGCTGGCATGGAGAGGAGGTTTAGGGGGTCGCTAGAAGTGGGAATTTAGTCTCCCACCCTCTTCTCCAGGGACAAGAGACCAGGGTCGGAAGTGGAGGTTCCATGATCATGTACAGGTGGGGTAAGCTCCCCAGGGGTGCAGACTCCAGAGCTCTGGTTTGATTTGAGGTTAAGGGTGGGAAATAGAGGTGTATTCCAGGTTAGAAATAGAGCCAAGGGGAGGCTTTTGTGTGTGTGTGTGACTGGTCTATATCCAGCCTTTTGGTGATTTGGAGCTCACCTCTGACCTGTATGAGTTGTAGGGGTCCCTGATCTAGCATGTTCTCTCTCTCTCTCTCTCTCTCTCTCTCTCTCTCTCTCTCTCTCGATAGTTAATCAATGGGTTGATTACTGCAGCAGAAGGGATGGAGATTAGACATGAAGAACTTCTAGAGGATGGTACTATGATTAAGGCTGGGCAGTTGGTTCTCCTTGGAAATTCTCAGAACAGATCAGGCTCCCCAAATATTATTAGAATCTGGTTCTCTGGTGTCATCTGCTTCTACACCACCCAAGTCCCCATACCCACCAGACAGAGAATTTTCCTCAAGCCAGAGTCACTTCCTGTCTCCCCTTATTACCTAGCTCTCTTCTGTCTTTTCCTCCAATGACCCATCTCCAGTGGGGCATTACTGCTGGTTCTGACCCCTCATAGCCTAGAGGGTGAGAACACACCTGTCGAATTCTACCTGGGATTCCCCCTGTCTGTTCAGGGCAGAAATCCTGGTGGTGGGGATGGGGGTTGTTGGGGTGTTTGTGTGTAGCACATCCAGGCAGTAGGGAGGCATTGGTGTTCTGTCCAGAGAAATGCCCTTTAGTCTGGAATGATAGGTGCATGGACAGCCAGGTTGAGGGTGAGAGAAGCCTGAGGGGTAAGAGTCAGTCAGTCCGGATGAATCAGTATGCCTTCCCTGCAGGCTGATTCAAAAGGCAAGTTTGAGTTGTCAGCCCTGGGGAACTTGAACTTTGGTTGCTGAGTCACAAGCCCCAGGAAGCCCAAGAGCCAAGCTTGGTGACTGAAAGGGATAGGAGAAGTAGAGAGGAGACCCTGGGTCATAGCACAAGAAAGAAAGTGGTTGAGAGTAGCTTTGGGACCTTAAGAATTTAGGTGAGCACAGTGTCTGGGGAGATGGTGTAGAGTTCAGGACCAGAGCCCCAGGTGTCTCACCTCCCAGCCTACTCCCTACATCTCACTGCCACTGCCTGAATCCAGAATCTCCAGTCAGAGAAATGATGGATCTTGTCATTTGCAGTTTTATGAAAAATGCAAGCGGGTAGAGCATGCCCAGCTCCTTTTATCATTTAACGCTTTCCCCTGCCTTCCTCCTGTTCTGAGTCTCTAACTCATTGGATTTCTAGTAACACTCTGAGATACAGACTCCACTATCATTTACTGAGACCCTCCCAATGTGCCAGAATCAATGCTAGGAATTGCATGGAAAATCTCAGTTAATTAGACACTGACTTGGAAACACCCATGCCCCAACTGTTTGAGCTAAAAGCAAATACCCTTCTTTTTTAAAACTATCAAGGCAAAGGGCCTGCTTTCCTCCTTAATACACCCACCCAAGTTAGGGTTAGGGTTAGGGTGACAAGCAGTTCTTCACCTTTCCTGTATCATGTGCCTTGCAGAAATGAATGATCTCTTCCCTTAGGCCAAGTTGCAGAGGGTTAGGTGTGGGGAGTGTGAGTTCTGGGCTCAAGGTAGTAAGCAGAGATGTTCTAGAAAATGCAGGGACTCAATGGGAGACCCAAGCTGCCTCTCCTCTCCCAGGCTGACAGCCAGCTTACCCTTGGCCTTGAGCTGCATGTGATGTTTATTCACTTTGCTAATGACTCTGGAGATGGTCTGTGATTTAGCCACCTGGCTTTGAAGTTGGTTTTTTGCAACACAGAGAATGTTTTCCCTGTGTGTGATGGCAAATTAAGTGTACAACATTTCATTAAAACAGTCCTGTTTCTACAATTGAATAACCAGCTACTCCTTCACTCTTCTTGCTGAAAGGAAAGAATCCTGCAAATTTTACCATTTTTTGAAGAAGGGAACAATGCCCAATCCTGAAGCACCCATGGGATGATGTTCTAACTCATGTATTTTTAAGCTTTAGTTTTCTTCAAGTGAGGTCTAGTATCTAGCACTTATAGTCCTAGATGGTTCTCTTCTCCCTCTGAACGTGGCAACTACAAGTGGGGAAGATAGTTTCAGTGTGCATCATCCCTTCAAGCTCTGTACAAAAGCTGCATGTTTTTCTAATTGTTCCAACTTTACTCTGTCTTTTACCATCCACAGTCAGGGGTGAAACATACGGCTGCAAATAATTAGGACTGGCATTGAGGCATTAGGATCAGGCCAGCTTTCTTTAGGGCCTGTGTAGAGTTGTCTGAAGTTGGGGAGAACATGGTAAGAGAAAGTCTGGATTGAGCTAGGTAGCATCTCTGCCAGTCCTGCTGAGGAGAAGGTCCTGTAAGGACTGAGCCACCAGGATCTGCAGTCAGAGGAACCTGTGACAACACAAGTGAGCAGGGCATCCTGATCTGGGTACTCTAGATAGGATGACACTTTATCTCTCCCTTTTCTTTTGGGGTGCTAAACTCTTTTTCCTGATCCCCAAGGACCCACACAGAGCTTTCCTTTCACTAGTTGCAGATACAAACAGAGAAGAGGACAGACAGAAAAGAATCTCTCTGGCTTTCTCTCTGCCCCTCCCCTCCATTGCTCCAGCCTAGATCTTGGATTCAGAGAGGCTACATGTCCTGATGGGTCAGGCAGAAAGGTACAGTTACCATCTGCCAAAATACTAATATTAATAATTGCTAAGTCAATGTCAATGCTCTGTTAGCTATGACACATTAGTCTCCAATATATTTCTGAGTTCCTTAATGATGGTGGAAGTGGGCACCTGGTCATAAAGCTTGGTGTGGCTGTAATTAGCTTGGCATTGTCTTCCCTCTTCACAGGTTTACCAGGAACATTATTAATTCCTTCTCTGTTTGGACTCTGCTAATTATCCCCATAGGTAGTCGCTCTTGGATCTCTAAAGAAGGGAAGGACACAGTGGCCCTCTACTCCCCATTCCCCTAACCCTGCATTTTAATTAAATCCAGTTCTCCTAATGAATTTACAAGCCACAACAGAGCTTATCATTAATGTACCATGTCTGAGTCTCAGCACAGAATAGCCTCTGTTCTCCCAACAGACACACACATACACACACACACACACTCACTCTCAGGCATATGTCTGTATGGTACTTTTCAGGGGCCACTGGTTAGTTGTCTGGTGGCTGGATATTTACTGCAGGATATTTACTTTTCAGGGAAGAAGAAAGCTGGAGGTGCGGTGGGGGGGGCAGTCATAATCCAAGTCTGCAGGGGTCTGCCCAAGTTCAAGGTTCAGGCCTAAGACTAGAGGATGCTGCCCGCCCCCTTACCATCTTCTATTGATCACAACTTAGAAATGCTTCTTCTTTTAGTTTCTCTGTCCAAACTTTGATCCTATAGTTCTTCAGTTGCACCTCCAGTGCCCTGAGATGCCTGATTCAAGAGCCTGGATCTTGGCATCAGAAAATCCTAGATTCAAATCCCACCTCTCCTTCTTAATGCAGTGTACCCTGAACAAGTTACTTAGCTAACATCTCTATCCTTAGTTTATTTATCTTTAAAAGGTGAACACCAGTTTCTCTGGGAAGCTGTAAAGATTAAATGAGATAATGTAAA